TTAAATCTATTTATATTGGCATGTTTATGATTATACTTCTGTTACTCTATAACTAGTCTTTGTTAATGTGCACAATCACTGCAACAAGTTAATAATTTTTTTAGGTGTATGTAATATTTAAAATTATAAGTTAAATAATGAAGATATCCCATTTTATAAATTTTATCATTAGTAAATATAAAAGGTATAAATATAAATTATTTAACTTACGTATCAATCTTTTATATTGATTGCAATTAATTTTTGTAAATTCTGTTGGTTATGACTTATTAGTTAGATAAAATAATATTAAAATTATTATTATGATAACAATTGTGTACGAAATTTTAAGGGATTTGGTTATGTCTTACAAAATAGTTAACTAATTTTAATAAAAAAATTTGTTCAATCAGCTGAAAAAAAAAATTTGTAAAAAAAAAAAAAGTTTGAGAATCCCCTTATATATTAATCCAGAACGCGTTGAGCCTACGTGGCTGCTTCTGGTACTTCGAAATCCTATGTGGCAAAATTACATGATTCGTAATTTGCTTGGATAAATTTTAATTTAATTCTAAACTAAAAATAATTAGATTTGGACTACCATAAATATGTTGATTATTTATGGTCATGTTACATGTATTAATTGCATTTTAATATCATTCCTTATTATAACTATTGAATTGTATATATATTTTAAAATTTAATAACTTTTTGTATTTTTTATCAGTTTTACATATGTAATATATCAAATTAATTTTCTTTTGACGAGTTTCGATTTAAGATCCATATTGTATGTATAAAAAAATAATTTATATTTATCTTTATAACAATAATAAAATTATTTTTAATATTAATTAGAAAAATAAAATTATTTATCACCTAATATATTTATATTTCGAGTAGTTTTATGACATAAGTTATAAAAACTAATATAATATAACACATGTAAGTCATATGTAACACATATCATTCTAAAATATATAGTAATATATCTTTTTTTTGTAAAAAAAGTAAACTAAATATAATATAGTTTTCTCATTAATTTTAAAATTTAAAAATAATTTTTTAACAAGCACCCGTGTAATACACATGAGTTGTACTAGTAGAATATGATTCTTAAACTTGCTAAATGCACTGATTCTTAAAACTTAATTAATTTATTTATTTTTCTTAAATAAGGAGACAGAAAATATGCTTGGCATTGAAATCAAATAAGTAATGATATAATTATTAATAGAAATAAATTGATGTAAATAACATTATTTGGTAACACTCTTCGAATGGATTTTTGTATGCAAAAACCATTTGAATAATTAATTCATTTGGTGATATGATGAGAATGAAATTTCGTTTTGTACAAATAGTCCCATTTCATATAAAAAAAAAATGATTGAAACTTTTAAATATATTAATATTGGAAAAGTGCATTTAAAAATATGAATAATCCGCTAATTTAGCATCACTACTTTATTAAAGAAACAAATACAAATGACAAATCAGAATGTCTTTGTAGTGACGAAGTTTTTTTTTTTTTTTTTTCTTTTTTTCGATATAAATCAAATTTAATTGGTTCGAAAATGTTTATCTCGTGGATATCGAAAAGATGGAAAAAAAATAATCATAGGAAGACATGGGAAAAAGATGATATGATAAACAAAATAGAAACGTGATGCGTTTGGAATTATTTTTTAATTTAATATTATTTATTGAGTAAAGGGAATTAATAATTAAAAAAATTGACTGAGTAGAAATTTGAATTTCATAATTGTTTGTTAATGAATAAGTTAAAATGTAATGAAAATTGATTTGACGTAAAAATTACAAAATTGATTTATATTGAAAGAGAATGGTAAATAAATCGTTTGTGGAAAGTTCATAAAAAAAACCGAGTCGACTCATTTGACTTACTCCTTATGGAAATTATTTAAAAAAACAGAAATTCTGCTTGTTTAAAAAATTAGAAATTTTGTTTATTTTTAAAAAATTCAAAATCATTCCATATTCTTCTCAAAATTTGTTTACTCGTTTTCAAGAATCATAATTCCATTTTTTGCTCAAAAAATTATTCACGCATTTTGAAGAATCATAATATTGTTACGACTCTAAAAAAATTAATATACATCTTATCTCAAATTTGACAGCCGAAAAATTCCTTTTTAATGCAACAAAAAAACTGTTAACGCATCGTTAATTTATTTTTTTGTTAATTATAGCTGATTAATTAGTGGTAACAAACATAACTAATTAGATCACTCATTAAAATCTGAAATAGATTCAATATCATATAACTCTATTTATCCAATTTTTTTTTTGGTTATTTTATAAATTCATTCTATCTTTGATGTATGTTGCAAACATGTTTTCTTTCCTCAAAATCTGCATCTAAACACATTTTAGAAAAATATTAGTACTGCCAAATACACGTATAAAATAAAATATATCAAATATAAAAAATTTTAATATCACATACAAATAAATAAATTAAAATATTATAACCCAAATTCAATCGATTTGAGGTAAATTATTTTAACACATGCCAAATTACTGCATCTGAACACATTTAAAAAGAAATATTACAATACAATAAAATAAAATATATCACATATAAACTGTTTTAATATCACATGCCAAACAAATCTTCTCATCTATCTCAAGCGTCCACATCCACATGTAGTATTTCATATTTTTCTTGATAATCAAAATATATCAAAGCTTCACAAATTTTTCACAAAGAAAGTGTTCAATAATTTATAATTTTTTTTACCTTCTTTGCGGTCCATTTATTTTGTTACATATATATAAATTATATTAATTTTAGTACTTCACATGTTAAACATTTCAGGAAAACATATCATCTCGTGCATCACTCGGGCTACGCGCTAGTAATGATTGTAAATGATTATTAGTTAAAAATATGTGAGCCAAATATTGTATTTTGTTGTAAAATAGTAGTAATGATTAATTTTTTTATTTTTTTATTTTCGGAACGATAGAGGTTTTATAAAGCGCACAAAATGCGAAAAGAAAACCAGTCAACGACTGAATGGTACAACCAACAACTGAAAAGACTGAGAGGCAAATTCGAAGATCGCCTAGAGCCGGACCTAACAACGCTAAAAAACACAAACACAACACTACAAGACAAAAACTACTACTAATTCCAAACAGGAGACGAATCGATTCCTAAAGGATAATTCTCGAATGAGAACCGATCCCAAAAGGATAATACTCACTTTACTCAGGCAGAAACGGAGGCTTAAAGCCCAAACAAAAAACACATGACCTACAGAACAAACCAACACAAAACAAAAAAATAACAAAATCCTACACGAAACAAATAAGCCATTCCCAAGCCGCTAGACCAAGCAGAGCCAACAGAAACCAAGTCGACCAAAGAGAATCCCACAGCCAAAGAGACCAACCCCGAAACTGCCCAAAACCAACTCAATGGCATAACGGAGTCGAAATCCAAGCCCTGAACTCACTCAAAGTCGGACTTGAACCACGACCACAACAGCCAACCTGCCCAAGAACCGCCACTGGTCCGAACCCGCTAACACCACTAGTGAGCCCGACAGCACCCGGTGAACCCCCAAACTTGATATTATTAGATTATATCAATAATATTAAAA